TTGTTGTTTCCAGATGCAGGTTTACTCCCAACCCCACCACCAGGACCACAGGGCAACCCTCTGCCCTGTCCTCATAGACAGGCTGCCTTCCCAGCCAGTCCCAGCCACCTCCCCTCCCACCGGCTGTGTGACCCCACAAAGACAGGGAAGCCTGAATGAGGACCCTAAAATCAATAAGTAACAAAGGAAGGGTCCGTCCCACCTATATTTTCATGAAAATGCCACCTATCCCAGGGAACAGTTTTGCTGGGAAGTGATCAGGTAACAGTGCACACACAGCACAATATGAACAGCAATGGAAATAATATAAGGAGAAAATCACCCGTAATCCAGTCCCTCTAACAAGTGAAATATTTTTATTATCTTTACTCCCTTCTAGCCCCTGCCCAAATACACTTTACACTTACGCTTAACAGAGCTTCAATCACAGGGCATGTGCAGCTGGATAATCTTTTTTCATTGTCATTGCAGAGGATTATAAACGTTTCGCCCTGGTTGCTGCTTAGACAGAGCGTATTGCTTACAGAGCAAACACACCAGGCCTTGAACAAATACGGCTCGCGGCCCGCCCCTCCTCCCACCCACCGCGGAAGTTCTTGTACAATTCCTTCTAACCTGACTTCTCTGCTGGTGGAAATTCCTTTTCAGCCCAATATGACCATCAGATTTATGGGAGTCGTAAAAAGTTTGATGATTAAACCGAATTCATTTGGAGCTGGGAAAATACTCAAAACACATTTTTCTGTTGTGCGTAAGACATCAAATGCACATGAAACCTGGACTGCTCATCTTTCCCTAAAGCCAAGAGCGTATCACTGCAAGTATTTGCAGCCATCCCCAGTCCTGGTTCCACCCTGAGCGGCTCTGAGGGCAGCTGCCCCACGCCCTCCGTTCCTCTGGCTTGGAGATATGGGAGGAGATCCAGTGCCAGACCAGGCAGTGCAGAGGCTGCTCAAGTCTGGTCAGACTGTTGAGGTGGAGTAACTCCCAAAATGGCTCTGGGTCTCCCAACTCACTTCCGCTTGGGCTACATATCAGGCACAGTGATCCATTTCCACGGTCCTTCTTTTCCCGTGGCCGGGATGTCCTCTCGAGTAGAAAGCTATCCCTGTCCTCACAGGAAGTTGTTGAGCGGTTCAGATAAGCTGGCATGCTGGTATCTCAGCAAGTGTGC